GTTGTTTATTGTGATTTCAAGGAATGTACCCCTTAAAATATGTACATTTGACATGTTGGGATAAGAAATGAGAACATTAGCTAAGAAATAGAGAAAATGGGCAACATAGAAGTCACTTAGGCCATACTTGGTGCGTTTTTCATCAATATGGCTCCCAAAACTTAATGTGTTGTTTTTTCTTGGAATTTCAAGCCCTAGAATCCTAAAACTATGCACTTTTGACATGTTTGGATGAGAAATGAGAACATTAGCTAAGAAATAGAGAAAATGGGCAACATAGAAGTCACTTAGGCCCATACTTGGTGCTTTTTCATCAATATGGCTCCCAAAACTTAATGTGTTGTTTTTTCTTGGCATTTCAAGCCCTAGACTCCTAAAAATATGGACATTTGACATGTTTGGATGAGACATGAGAACATTAGCTAAGAAATAGAGAAAATGGGCAACATAGAAGTCACTTAGGCCATACTTGGTGCGTTTTTCATCAATATGGCTCCCAAAACTTAATGTGTTGTTTTTTCTTGGCATTTCAAGCCCTAGACACATAAAACTATGGAAATTTGACATGTTTGGATTAGAAATGTGTTGATAATTTAGAGTGTTGGAGGAGCGCTCGCTCTCCTGAATCGCGCTCGCGCCAGCTAGGCGCGACCCGCGACAAAACCGCGCATAAACCGCGATGAGTTTCTGGAAATTTTGGAAAAGTTTGGAGGCGCGCCCGCGCCTCCGGTTGGCGCGCTTGCGTCATGGCATGGCGCGACCCGCGCCTAAACCGCGCTAAAATCGCGTCAACTTTCTGGAAAATCAGAAAGTTGAGATTCCAGAAGAGGAGCGCCCGCTCCTCCTTGAGGAGCGCCCGCTCCTACTTGAGGAGCGCCTGCGCTTCTGTGTGGCGTGCCCGCGCCTCTTCGCTTGCGCCCGCGCTTCTTGCTGTTTTGCGGTTTTATACGACGGTTGATTCTATTTTATATAGAGGAGTTTCTTTCAAAACAGATAGACAGAACATTATTATCTTTATCTTCTCCCCAAGAATTCTCCACTTTTCTCTAAATTTTCTTGCAAACTATTTTGAGAAAAACCTCTTGATTTTAGCCTTCGTTGTGAATCATCCATCGATTTTTCGATTCTTTGTGCTAAGAACGGAAAGTGTTGTCAATTGTATCTCAAAGGGAATTTCCGGATCAACCCAAGCACCGTGTGGGGGAAATTAATCCCTTTAGGAAAGTATTCATACGCCTTTGACAGTGTATCAAGATCATAGTCTCAAGGGACATTGCAATTCTCATGTTCATGCTTGGTTGATTGGCTTGGAGTTAAGGCAAGTGTAATTAAACTTCACATTAGTGTTGTCATTAGAAATTTCTGTAATTTCTTAGTGATATTAATACTTGATTGTAACACATTGGTTGTGTTTGTTTGTATTACTTTAATTTGTTATTGTAATCGCATTATTTAGGTTTTGTTCCCACACGTTTTATTAAGTGTTTTCTAGTTTGAATTCACTGTAAACCTAACAATCTAAAGGGATTAATTTTTGGAATTGTCAAGTATGTCTAGTGTGAAGGAACTTACTTCTAACTTCGTCAAACTCAATATTGTTAGATTTGACATGTTTGGATGAGAAATGAGAACATTAGCTAAGAAATAGAGAAAATGGGCAACATAGAAGTCACTTAGGCCATACTTGGTGCGTTTTTCATCAATATGGCTCCCAAAACTTAATGTGTTGTTTTTTCTTGGCATTTCAAGCCCTAGACTCCTAAAACTATGGACATTTGACATGTTTGGATGAGAAATGAGAACATTAGCTAAGAAATAGAGAAAATGGGCAACATAGAAGTCACTTAGGCCCATACTCGGTGCGTGTTTCATGAATATTGTACGTAAAACTTTAGACCTAAAACTATGTTTAATTGATATGGAATGAGAAAAAAAGAGCTCATTTCCTAAGAAATGAAGTAATTGGGTTAAGTAGAAGTCACCTATGTCATGTTACTTGGTTTATTTTTTCATGATTATGGTACCCAAAGCTTATTTATATAACTTACTAACTCGTTTGTTCATTTTCATATGTTTATCTTGTAGGAGGCCTACCGAAAGAGGGTTGAGGAGGCTAGCACTCAAAGGACTCAGAAGAGTCCGAATGAGCTGTACTGGGAGACAGTGGGTGGTCGGAACAAAAAAGGATGTGTGAAGGGACTTGGCGGAAGTGCTGACCATTACTATGGCAGCCAGATGGGTTGAGTTTCCACATCTTCCATGTAGTATACGCCCTCCCTTGTTTCTCAGATGCAGGATCAGATGGAAACCAGGGTGCAGGCTCTTCGAGAAGAAATGGAACTCGAGATGCAAGCCCGAGTTCAAGCCTTAGTAAGAGCCCAAATGGAAGAAATGGAAAAGAGGTTGGAAGAGAGAATGATGAGTCGTTACCACAATGACCCTTGTTCCACCGTGCGACCTCCATTTCGAGATCCCAGGGACGACGACCCGGGTAGTGGTGGAGCAGGCCAGGGCACTCCCGCAGTTGCTTAGCTTTAATTAACGTAGTGTTTATTAGTACTAATTTTAGATTACATTACTTGGTTGTACAGATTGGAATTAGTATATATATATATATATATATATATATATATATATATATATATATATATATATATATATATATATATATTGAAATAGTTCCGTCGTTATTTCCGTCGCAAAGTTCCTACAGAATTAAAATCCGTCGCAATGGGTATTAGTTTCCGACGGATTTTTCCGTCGATAATTTGCGACGGAATTTTCCGTAGGAAAGTTGCCTTCTTCCTACGGAAATATCCGTCGGAAAGTATCTCAGCTTCCGACGGAATATTCCGTCGGAAGTATGTACAGTTCCGACGGAATAATCTGTCGGAAGCTGAGATACTTTCCGACGGAATAAAGTCCGTCGGACGCTTGCGATGGACTTCCCATTCAGGTCAAACATAGGCTCCGACAATTTAAAATCCGTCGGAAAATCCGTCGGCATGGTAATTTCCGACGGAAAATCCCTCGGTATTGCCCAAAATTCCTACGAAGTGAATTCCGACAACAGGTTCCGACGGAATTCCGTCGGAATTCCGTCGGAAACTGCCTTTTCCGACGGATTTAGAAGGTGTTCCGACGGATAATGTCGTAAATGAGGTGTTTTCTAGTATTGTAATAATTTGAATATGTAAAAGCATGCTAGGCTTTGATAAATTAATTCAAGTAGTATCATGATAGGTGTTGGTTGGAATTTGTTACTTGGATTGATGTTGGTAAATGATTTGTGATGTATGAATTGTTTATGATGAATTGGTGATTGGAATTAATTATGTTGGCATGTTGAGTATGAACCACACTTTTATTATTGGCATGATAGAGAGCATGTTTGGTTAAACTAAATGTTTAATTTGGTTTAGAATATGAAAAAGAAATTTTATTATGGTTCATATAATTTTTATTGATACTTTAAGCATGAGAATTGAGCTATCAAGTGTCTTAGTACACATGAATGAATTATGTTGCGGTGCCTATGTGCACTTAAGGTGTTTCTAACACCGAGGGATAGGATTTGCGGCGCATTATGTGTTTAAGGTGTCTTGTCTTTGACACCGAGGTAGATTAAAAAGGGGTTCAACTATTAAAAGTTATGTGGTCACTAATTATTTAAGAATTTAAATTAGTATGTTTGGTTGCTTGAATGATTATAATGTTGGATTGTGTTATGATTGAGAGTCATCACCAAAACTCTTGGAACGTATATACTTTGAGTATGAACATATGGGGGGGAGTTATGTGGTTTTATATTTAACCATAGCTTCTACTGGGAGTACAGAGCGCTGTATTTTCTTTTTTATTTATCTTATGCGTAGGACGTCCAGTCACTTCATGTGCCATTTGCCTACCCGGTTAGCTCCCGGTGTCGTTTACCTCAATCTATTTGGGGCAGGGATTTGGTGGGAAACCCGTTCAATGCGTAATCAAATTAAATAAACAATTCATTTATTTATTGGTTGGTTGCTTGGTATGTTGTATGCTTGTAAACAGGTGCAACAAGGTAAGTTGTGTGTTGATAGTTAGAAAGCATGTTAGTGTGTTTTTATTGCTTATGTACTCAGCATTGCTGATTGTATGTTTGTATGTTTGTTTGGCCTTGTCTTTACCTTGGCCCTATGACGACCCATTTCTAATGGCGAGTAGTGGGGACAAGTAGAGAGAAGATTTTTCAGGTGAAGCATTTTCATGATGGGCTTGAGTGAAGAGCGATTCATGCTAAGTTTCCATAGGAATATGATGTGTTTTATTTGCTTTGAATGTTATTTATTTTATTATGCTCATGAGTTTACGTAAATGTTTTCAGTATTGTTTGGTTTTTAAGGGTCTACAATGGTTCCAAGTTGTAGGTTGACTTTGTTTGACTTTAATTTCGTTTGGTTTGACTTTTTGAGTTGACTTGTTTTTGAATGGTTCTAAAGATAGTCTTCCGCTGTGTGTTTTTGATATTTGTCTTAGCCGTTTTCATGGTGGCGATAATGTCATATATTTTCCTACTTCGTATTTTAAAATGGCAAAATAGGTATTTTTAAAGGAAAGAAATTTCTAGGGTGATACAAAAACCCCATGTTGAGGTCCTCACAAGACCCTAACCGCAAGGATTTGCTTTGGTCTAATGCAGAAGTCCTACCCTAAAGGGCTTTACTTGGTTTAGGTATCAACTCTCATATATAGAAGATTTCGTTCTACTCAACTTTCGACTTGAGAGCGCCATAGAAGGTGTTACACCAAGTGTCAGTCACTTTAATAGATTCATTTAGCAGTTTAGCCTTAATTTTTTTTCCCCAATGCATTACCCTTGTTAGGAAGCCTTCCAAGTTCATAATACTTTTATTTTTCTATTTTTCTATACCTCTTTTTACTTCACAAAAATTTCTAGGTCACAACGGGTATATCCGTATATGTGGCCACCATATTCATTTTTGCAAGAAGAGAAGATAGAAAAAACGAGATAATTCCACGTTACAAAACCCCCAATAAAAAGAAAATGAGATATTTTCCGTTGTTAGCTCTAAAATAAGGATGATGTAAAACCCCTAAAGCCTAAAACCCTAAACTCACCACCAACAAACAACCCTTCTTCTTCTTCGTTCTTCTTCAAATTATTTTATGACGTTAAAAATGGCGACTATGCAAAACCTCAATTAAACTTCACAATTATTATCTTCTTCATTGAATTTCTTCAACTTTAATGGCCGCTCAATTTCATCATAACAATGGAGCATTCACTCTCTCTCCTACAACCAGTCTCAATGACTTCGACGAAGACGACGATGTTGGATATACTTTGTTCAGGAAGAATCCTCTTCAAATTCAAACTTTGGAGTATTTGTACATTGGTAATTTGTTACCGTTGATTTCTGTAACTCATTTTTGAATTTAATTTGAAATTTTCGTCAAGTTATTTGCTAATTTGTCACTCATTTCTGTTTAATTATTGCAATTTTGGTAGTTGTTGTACTTTAATTGATTAATTATTCCTGAATTTTTTCAAAATTCACTACGTGAACTTAATTTTTGTTGACATTTTTAGGAATTTGATTATTCTTGCTTGTTCACTCAATTTTGTCCGTTTCAAGTCCGTGCTCTGGAAAAATGCGATAATCGTTATTATTTTGTTTTTGTATTGGATTTATTAGTAATTGAGCTGTAATTTGTGGATTAGTCTATTATTCGGGAATTTCTGCTCATTTTGACTTGATTGGATGACTATTGACTACTGTTTGAGTTGTTTATTGGTAGTGTACTGGGGAATTAGTGAGTTTAAGATGATTATTTGGGTAATTCGTTGAACAGATGATAAAAACCCGACGCGGAGTAGACTGGAAGACTATAGTTCAGCTTTAGGGCTGACTTATGAGCAGGTGAGGAGATGGTATGTTGAGCGGCGTCGAAGAGATAATCCAGATGCTGGCAGAAATATAGGAGTAAATAGGTCTGTGCAGAGCACAGCAAAGGGGAAGAGTAAAATGAAGAAAAAGAAGAATTTGTCGAGTTTAGAGCTAGGAGAGCACGGGGATTTTACAATTAGACCAGGTCTAATTCAAGATATGTTGTATTCGTCAGATCATATATTTAAGAAGATATTCAGGAAAGATGGTCCTCCCCTTGGTGTGGAGTTTGATCCTCTTCCTGAAACATCATTTCAAGGCTGCAACGATATTCCAGGTCAGTCTTTGCTATTGGAAGTTACAGCTATGTTATATTTAACTTTTTTTCCGTGGCATGCCTTACCAATCTTTTAGTCTTGTGAAATGTTTTTTTCGCCTGAAGTATTTTGGTCTTGGTGTGGACTTGGATAAATGTTAAGCTTTGTTTGGAGTTAATCATCTCATTTCTTTCTTTTTCTGCACCCTTTCTTGCTATCTACATAGTATTGTAGTGTTTTCTTTTCCATATACTGATACTGAACTGAGATGTCATGCGAGACATTTTCATTTTTAGGCATCTAATTTTTCTGTTGGGATAAATTCTTGCCATACTGAAATAAAATTTAAGTCTGATACATTCTTCTAGTCACTCACATATTAATCTTTGGTTGCCTTGCTAACCTTGGAAGTTACAATTTAGAACAAAGAATGGCTATTTCTAACTATTTAGGTTGTGAGTAGATTTTTCGTTTTCCTAAAATTACTTCTGAATTTCAGATAATGAATTTTGTGAATTTTCTATAGCTGAATGTTGTTTCTAGTGGAGCTGTTACTCTTTTTGGTATGTAGTTTGTGATTAGATTGTCTCCTGAGTCCCTTTCTTGTTGCTCTTGGCATTGAAATATTGACTAAATTCCTGTTACACCTGTAATACTTAATGTGGGCCAAATTATCGATGAAGAAGATAATAGTGCTAGAAGATTATATTTTGAAGCAAATATAAATTTACAAGTGTTAAAAGATAGGATGGGGGTAGGTGCTCTTGCTACTAAGTAAAATCTGTCAAATGCCTAAATAAATTGATATCAAAATATAGAGCCTCACTGTTAGAGTGTTCAAGATAGCACAGAGAGAAACTGACAGAAATGGCACTGAATCTTGTGGAAGACTTATGTTTCAATTCTTGTATAACGGACAGAAGCTTGTTGAGTTTAGGATTTAGCTCTTCTTTCTGTATTGTAGGCACTCAGGAAGGATAACCCATTATATGGACTTCACTCATTTCTCTTTAACTCCTTCACTCCTTTCCTGGTTTGCTGAAACCTGGCTCAGCAGAGGAGAGGGGTGTGGGGGGGGGGTGATGAGGGCAAAGATGATATGACAAACTTTTGCATGCTAGAGTTCATGTGATAAGACTGATAACCATATACAGTGCCGGGCTCTTTATTAGTTCTATGGATGAAGTTACATCATAGTGCTTTTGTGCTATGTGTACCTCTTATTGTAGATGGGCATCTCCTCGGTGTCTCATTAGTACAGCCTTTTGTCACAATCTTTGGAAAAAGGAAATAAACAAGCTGATGGATCTCGGCAGCCTTTTGGTGCTGTATCACCAGTTAAACATAGTAAAAAAATGATGTATCCAATTAGAAAGATGTGAAAGCTTAGATGACTAATAGTATCAGTATTTGTGATCCCTTATCGTAGTCAATCACTTTTATACATATCTGGATTTCAATATTTTATTCTTAAAGAAATAAGGAACAAAATCAATTAATCTCACTGCAATTCAAGCAGTAGCTGTTGGTTTCATTCATCTATTTCTGTAATTATTCACATGCTCATTCATGTGTAGGCACTCGCCAATATGCGGTTTATAAATTTTAGAGATATAGTATTAATCTTGTATTTTCATCCCTGCTTCCCCCTCAATGGTCATTCTTTTTACTTCTTGGTGTTGACCAGATAGAAGATGTTGTGAGGTTGCATGTCAAGGTGAACAAAGGGCCTTAAAAAGGAGGAAGGTAAGGGCAAAATTTAGTTTTTATAGAATGAATGAAGATGGCATATTGTCTGATTTGGCATTTTTAATTTATGTTGTTTTATTTTATCCAAGGAAAAGATTATTGGGTTAAATTTGTTGTTTTGTTTGCTATTCTGTAAACAACTTGTCTACTTTCTTTGTATTCTCTAATTATTTTTGATTTGTAATTTTTTTCATGAATAAAGAATATATATGTTGTCAGCAAACAGTGAGTACAAGGTAACAGGGCAAGCTTTCCTTAAATAAAAGCAATAAATCCAATTTTTTGAGATAGAATGGAGTTCTTCACGAAGTTTAAGACAAAGGAAAAAAGGTGTCTTTTGAATTTAATTTTGAAAGTCCTAGGTGTCCCGCTGCTTTAACTTAAAAGGAAGCTGAAGCTAAGTTATCCTTGCCCCCTACCAAATCACAAAATAAGGTGGTTCTTGAAATGATAAGTGAAAATTCATAAACAACATAAAGTGCCATTAAATTATTGTGCCTCTGCAGCCTTTCTTTATCCCCTTTAAATCTTAAAAGAATTCCAAGACCGAAAAGGGGGTGAATTCTGATCAGCTTCCTCCAAACATAATGCACTACTTGACAAATTGACTACGAAGCACATGGCATTTAATTGTGACTAGCTTCAATTCTAGGTGACAAAGTCAGCTGTTTTAGAGGCTGAGCAATGGAATCGAATGAAAACTCCTATGAAGAAGCACGGAAAGGGGAAAGGTCTGATGTCAGACTTGCAGCTGGTGAATTATCTTGCTTCTTTTCGAGATAATGTAGGAGCAACCAAAAGAGGAAAGGTGCTGGAACAAATCAATTTTTATGCTTGATAATTGTGTGGCTTTTATATTCCCCCCCCCCTCTCAACCTATTGACATTACTGTTCATTTCCATCATCTATTCCTTTTCATAGGTGCTTGCACGTAAAAATAGTCAACCGGGAAAAACATACGGCATGGGCAAAGGATTTATGACTGCTTCACAGCTGGCGAATCCTGATTCCAAGAGGAGACCATTGAGACGGAAAATAGCTGCTGTACGTGATATATCTAGATTTTGGATTATATTTGTTGTGCTATGCTCTTTGGTAGCTGGAAAATCATTGCTATGAGATTAGTTTAAATTTTTAAGAAAATGTTTGCAGCTTTATGTCCAATTATATGGAATATTGAGTTTTTTATTTTGCTCTATTTTACTTGAACCAGCAGAGAAGGTCAGTGAACAAAGTGCAGGAAAAGAAGAAACCTATTCCTCAACGTAGAAAGGTAAGCCTGTTCAATTTTGCATGGAACGAGCTAGTACTAGTATTGCCAGGAAGGACTTTAGTAACTTATCCTGGCATGTATCAACGTAGATAGGTAAACCTGTTCAATTTTGCATGGAACGATCTAGTACTAGTATTGCCAGGAAGGACTTTAGTAACTTATCCTGGCATGTATCAGGTTGATTCTAGTCAGAAAGAAACTCAGAAGGCACGCAAAGATTGTTGCAAAATTGCTTTGGATTTAGCTAGCCATGACGAAAATCTCTGTTCATTTCCAACAAAGGCAGATGATGAAGAGCTTGAGCTGAGGGAGCTCCAAGCTGGACCAAATCCACTAACTTGTGGTGCTCACTTTGCTAATGGTGGGAAGATTGGAAATAATGGTTGTTCTCTTTGCAAAGGTTTGTTAATTCTTTTCCCTAAAAAATGGCAACTATTTGCTTACTCTGCCTCTTATAGAGCTTCAAAGTTCACAATTACCATTTTGTGGCGTCCCAACATGAACTTCAATTTCATTTGTTATAAAAAATTAAAACCGATAACTTAGAGCCTGTTCATTTCATTTTGATATATCAGTTTCTTTGAAAATGAATAAGATTAAAAGAGATTATGAAAACCAAAAGTTTCCAGATTTTTGTTAGTTTTCAAAGCTGACACGATTAATCTAACTAATTTTAAGTTTATTGTTCAACATATATCAACATATATCAAATGAATTAATATCCTAAAACCAAAAACTGAAGATGGCAGAGATATCGAATGCCCTTGTAGGTATTATATCTTGTTTTTTCCCTTCAAAATTCTGATTTAGTTTTATTCTCTGTCTATGTATTCCCAATTATTTCAATCATGCGTCTAGTAAGTATTCCTATTCTCTGTTATTAGCTCAAGTGTGAATCAATTTTTTGGATGATTGAGAGTTTATAAAAAACTACTATTTTCTTTCCATTACAGACTACCAATGCTTTGTTGTAAACAGGTCTTCTGCCTAAGTTCCCGCCTGAATCTGTTAGAATGAGAAAGCCGTTCCATATGCAACCTTGGAACTCTTCCTTGGAGCTTGAGAAGAAACTTTTTAAGGTATATTAGTATGATTGTTCTTTCCGAATTTAAGATATAGATGCATACATCCAACAATGAAATGAATTGATAATATTCTGAATGTAATAGTCTTGTTTGTTATTAAGTGACTGTAAAGATCCTTAAAGGTATAATTTGTTTGTTTAGATATTTTTTAGTATTTTCTATGGTACTAGGTGTTATGTTTTTAAAGTGCCAAGTGAGCTTCCATATGTTGCTGTCTTAGTTAAGAATATATGCATTTACAATGCTTATAGACACTTTATGTTTACATTGATGTTTGTTTAGCTATCCTAATGAATAAAAGCATTATTAAGGAATATGTTGAGATCTTTGCTGGGGTTCTGATCTTTGTACTTGATTTGTTTCAGATGTCTTGAACTTTGTATTGATGAATATTATATTTGTGAACAGGCTCTTCACTTTCTGTATACTTATGCTGTAATGCTAGATCTTTATCCATTTACCCTTGATGATTTTGCAAAGGCATTTCATGATAAGGTGAGTTACTCTGTTTTCCTTGCTGCAAAATTTGACTATTACCAATTAGATTGCTCCACTTTTTCTTTGACTTTTGTAGCATGTCACATCTTGCATCTCAATAATAAGTTGAGATATTAAAAGATAAAATTTTGACCACCTCTAATTGGCTTTCAGGATTCCTCATTACTAGGGAAACTACATGTATGCCTCCTTGGACTGTTGCTGTCTGATATTCAAAATGAGATTTCTAATGAGCTTTCCATACATTCAAATAAAAACGGCATGTTTCTGAATTTGCTTCATATGGTAAGTCTAGCTTTTGGAAGGGATGCTATTCCAGCATGATGTGAATCTGCATCATGTTTTTGTATTTTTGCTGCTCAGAAAAATAGCTCAAGTAATTGTTAATTTGTAATGTGGCAGACTGAGACACAGGATTCTGTTGTGAACTTTTGGAAGACATCTCTGAATCCTTTGACATGGACTGATATATTGCGACAAGTCCTGATTGCTGCTGGATTTGGATCAAGAGATGGTAACCAAAGTAAAGGATGCCTTACCAAGGTTTGTGGCTTTGTGCTGTTCCTTGGCAAACGAGATGAATTTGTGTTGCTCTAATACGCTATTGCTATGTCTTTAGTGTTGAAAATGCATTTTATTAGTTTAGGCTGTTGTTTTCTTCCCCATTTTTTCAGATTGGCCCAATTATTGTGGGGCAAGAATTGATGAGGCAGTTTTCTTGGTATTTTTGCTAGCATTTAGGCTCTGGCTATAAGTGAGTGATCTAGAACTGAAAAGGATATAATTAAATCTAACTATCTCTTCTACCAGATAGTTTTTGAACCCACTTTACTAATTTCTCTTCAACTACAAAGTGATGCTGATGTTGTATATGATTGATTCTGTTTAGCATAAATCTTGCATAGCCTAAGGGCTCTACGCTGTGTAGTCACTATCTATATTTGTTTCTCAAGGTTTGATTTCCAGGAGTTGTGGCTCAGATGTATGTGTTTATCAAATGTCATATCTCTTTTTTATATTATGCATTACAAGCATCTATGCTTTCATGAACTGATGTTTTTGGATATATATGTCTTTTTTTTTTCCCAGGAAACAGATCACATGGCCAAGTACGGATTGCAGCCTGATACATTGAAGGGAAAACTTTTTAGCATTTTGTTTGAGCAAGGGAACAGTGGAATGAAGGTCACTGAGTTGGCAAAATCTTCACAGGTGTGTCTATGAGTTTTAGTGTATACCAATCTTCATCTGTCTGATGTGGTTGCAAACATGTGTCACTTTGTAGTTACGCAATACTGAATTATGATATTGTGGTTTTGTCTTGTAGATTGTGGACTTGAATCTGGGGAAAACAGAAGATGAACTTGAAGATTCAATTTGCTCAATATTGGCTAGTGATATAACATTATTTGAAAAAATATCGTCTTCCACATATCGTCTACGTTTAGCATCAATCATGAAGAAAGATGAAGATGCTCTGTCGGATAACGAAGATTGTGGAAGCATTGATGATGAATCCAGGCTTTCCAATTCTCTTAGTAATAATGCAGACTGTGACTCTGGAATATCTTCTTCAAGGCCTAATATGGGTCATCTGTCTCCTGAAAGTAATCCATTGAGTCTTTCCTCTGTAATTGACGAAAGTCATCCTGGGGAGTCATGGCTGTTAGGTCTCATGGAGGGAGAATATTCGGACCTAAGCATTGAGGAGAAGCTGAATGCCTTACTAGCTCTTATTGATCTTGTAAGGGCTGGATCTAGCATTAGGATGGAGGTATGTTATAATGACTTATATTTTGATCATAACTTCAATCTTCATTGTTTCATTTTTTCCATGCCTTTTGTTAGTTTGTTTCCTTTGAAAGGCCTACACAGTCATAAACAAGCTGTCTCCCTAGCTTCTTCCCAAACAAAGTACTACTACTTTCATTGTATGTTATGTGCTCCAACTTTAAATGCAACATAACATACTTAAATTACATCTTATATGGCTCTTTTTGGCCATTAGTGGTTAGCTGCTGATAGCCTTTTTATAGTAGCTGGTATGACTTAACTGATTGTATTAGCTGTTTTGCTTATTTGTAAGTAAAGTATTTTGTTAAAGCCTGATATGCGTAAGTTTTGTACTAATATGGAGACGTGCTCACAGTTCCTTCGTAGTAAGGTTGGAGGGGGATTTTTGCTTTGCATGAAGAGTATTGGATAATCTCATGTACTGTTCTGGATCTGTTGCAATTGTTTTGTGGGTTATGGTGGCCAAAGAGAAGATATTGTGGCAAAATGCTTTTATTCTGTAGTGCTTGTGTTTATAATAGCGAATGTTTAAGAGAACCACTTTGAGTGATGATGTATTGTATAATAGGATTACTTAATTAGCTATTTTTGTGGGCTAAGACAACTGGGGAATTTAAGAATTACTCAGTGGGGAATACTCAACGGATATGGGCAAATGTATGATCTGTTTTTTTACTGTTATGAGGACGATTTATCCTCTGCAGTCTGCACTTACTGCTGCTCATTTATAAAATTACTCCCATTATAAAAAAGAGGCAATCGCCATTAGCTTATAGAATTCCCTTACCAATAAGGATTTTGCATAATTGATTATTGATGTTTTGAGAACCCATGATAAAAAGTGTATATTTGAAGAACTTTTGGATAGAATATTTATTTCCCCTTTTGTAGCCTTTTCAAAATTGGATGTTTAGGTCCAAAAAACTCTTCCGAACCTCACTTTACCAAACACTAACATTAGAGGTTTTGATCGGTCAAACATCTAGATGGGTCAAAAGCTTTCGTTTTGTCCAAGCCTCTCTGTGCAAAATGCCCCCACTGATTGGCGTTTCTTGACATCTCTGTTTCATGAGTTTGAAAAGTTTGCCTGGCTAAATCCCTTTCTAAGGTATGTTGTTTCAAGAAGATAGTAATTATTTGTAGTTGACTGCAGAACTTTCATTTTACATATTCTATAACATGGATGGTAGGAGTACCTTCTATCCCTACCAGTCTATAGGCTCACTGAGGTGCAAGGCGACATAGGCCATGAGCTGCGCCTTATCTATTCGTCATTGTTGGCGAGGCACACCATAGATGCACCGCACTGTGGTGCACAGCTTGCGTCACACAGCTTAATATATTAGAATATTTTTTGCTTTTTATTTAATGTGCCTCATCTATTTGTCATTGTTGGCGAGGCACACCATAGATGCACCGCACTGTGATGCACAGCTTGCGTCACACAGCTTAATGTTTTAGAATACTTTTTGCTTTTTATTTAATGTGCCTCATTTGAATGAGGTGCACAGTTGCATTTATGCGCCTTGAGCCTTTTCATACATTGATCCCTACTTGTTTTCACAATTTCGAAAGTGGTCAACATCTTGATGTGACACTCAGAACTTCTTGAATTTGCAAAACTTCTTGTTTTCAACCTACCATTATGAAAGAACCAATTCTCTATGAGTCTATGAGGTAGAAGTTTTTAATTATGACTCTTAGGTGTTAGAAACAATTCTTAAATTAAAGTTTTCACTTATTGATATTTGTAACTTTTTGCTTTAATTGCATACGTATTTCTCTCTGCTTCTGTCACTGCTAGTTGTGTTATTTAGTTTCCTTTTTCTCTTACTTTGTAGTCTTGTTGAGAGAAGGTTTCACCTGGTAGATAGCTGTGACATAGATATAATATAAAAGAATAAAATGATTGCATTAGTTTGGAAATGTTCACAATCTGTATCTTACATTGTGTAGACTTGGATTGCTCATACTTTTAAGAATTGTATTATGGTGCTTGTGTTGTGCCAGAATGGTATAGAATGCTAACAAGTTTATGATGTCAATCCATGAAATTTGCATGTCTTTACAAAAGGCCTGATTTTGCTTAATGGTTAAACACTGGTGTTGTTATATGAATGGTTTGTATCTTGGTTGAGACTCATGATTATTCTTCAATTCATTGATTTATATATTAGTCACTCATTAAGTCCCCAACCTTATTTAATTCCGAAAGAAGACCAGCAATCAATCCCCTACTATGTTAGCAGTTCTGACCCCCTAGGTGATATAGGTATCTAGTTCCTCAGGAGAATAAGTTGACATGATTACTTTATGTTTCTTGGCTATTTTCTAAAGTTTATTATTTATTTATACTAAATCTGTGGTTGCTTTGTAGGATCCGTCGGCAGTACTTGCAGAATGTGTTCCAAGGATTTATCAGCATGGATCTGGAGGAAAAATAAAGCGATCTACAGTAAAGCGACCTAGCTTGCTTACCTCATCCTTTGGCGATGTTACAGATAGCAGGCGTCTGTCTTCAGATAATTGTGCTGTTGATTCATCAGTGGTGTTATCAACGGTTTGCAAAGAAGATAGATATTCTAGCATGAAAAAAGGCCTCAATGGTGTAGGAAATGGAGATGCTCTACATCCAATTCAAACAATTTTTTTGGGTTCTGATCGCAGGTATAACAGATACTGGCTCTTCTTGGGTCCTTGTGATGCTGATGATCCTGGACATAAACAAATCTATGTTGAATCTTCTGAAGATGGTCAGTGGCAAGTGATTGATAGCGAAGAGGTGACATTACATATTTCTATTTTCCGTGTTAAGTTCCATCTCCTCTATTTCCTTTTTTCTTTTATCTTATGTCTTGAATGTTTTTCTACTTAATTTGGTTGCAGGCTCTATATGGTTTGTTGGCTTCTTTGAATGGTCAAGGTAGGAGAGAGGCAGCCCTGTTGGCATCATTGGAAAAGCGTATGACATTTCTTGCTGAAGAAATGATGAGCAGGGTACCAGCTGATTTTAATGTCAGCCAATCAACACAATCTGGTCTCTCTGAAATAGATAGGACCAATGAAGATAGCTTGTCACCCATATCTGAAATAGATAACCATTCATTGGGTGAGACTTCATTTAATGCTGTTACATCATCTGGTGCTGCACCTTTCATATTTGAGAAAACGGTAGAAGAGGAAAAAAAGAAATATGAACGCCTTCAAGCTTATGACTCGTGGATATGGAACAACTTTTACTCCAATCTTCATGCTGTTAGACGTGGGAAGCGGTCATTTTTTGATTCATGGACAAGATGTGGAAGTTGTAATGATCTGTATTGGCGAGATGAGAGGCACTGTAAGGCATGCCATACAACATTTGAGCTTGACTTTGATCTTGAAGAAAAGTATGCTATCCATGTGGCTAAATGTCATGCTCGTGAAGATGCTGATATCTGCCCAATGCATAAAGTTTTACCATCAAAGCTACAGGCTCTCAAAGCTGCAATCCATGTGATTGAGGTGCGTTTATTGCTGTCCAAACTTATTAAGTGACCTTAGGTGTTTGGCCAACATATTATTTGACTACCTTGAATTCCCTGGTTGAACCGAACAAAAAAAAATATTGGAAATAGTATTCCTGTTCTTGATTTCTTTTCCTTGCATGAACCAAACAGTCTATTGTATTATTTACTGTTTTGTGTCTAGATTATTTGGTTAATTAGTCTTATGTGACTGGCTTTACATTCAAGCTTCTTTGTTGAAGAGGGTAGGCTTTTGGCTTATATGGGCTAAGTGATCGTGGATATCCCTGTTATGCACTTTCGGATGTAACATGTGATTAGTGCCCTTCATTTCTCCCATCTCTTTGCTTGATTTGTTAGAATCTTGCTCCACCTTTGTAAAACATATAATTTTATTTAGATAAGCTTTTGCGTGAGACCGAACATACCGTGAGTCCAATATATCTGACAATAATATTCAAATATCTGATAGTTGTATTCTAATATATGATAGTAATAATCTAATATCTGACATTAATAATCTAATAATCTAATGTCAGATATTAGATTATTAATGTCAAATATTAGAATATCAATGTCATATATTAGAATATTATTGTCAGATATTAGATTATTATTGTCAGATATATTGGACTCACCGTGAGTCCGACTCACCCAATTTTTTTTTTTATTTAACAGAGTATACATATAATGACTTATCTGTTTAGTTATGACAAATAAGCCCTTTGGAAGATGTTCAGATCTCTTTTATGGTTCTGAACTAACATTTGTCTTACAGATGTTTATGCCAGAAGGTGCGCTGATTGGGGCATGGAAAAAATCTGCTTACAAGCTTTGGGTCAGGCGGCTCAGACGCACCTCTTCATTACATGAGCTTTTACAGGTATGCAACATATATATATATATATATATATATATATATATATATATATATATATATATATATATATATATATATATGATCTATTGCTTCCTCGTTTTCTCTTCACTTTATATCATTCTTGTTGGTGCTTTTCTATATCTATGTATATTTTTTCCCACTGATTGTTTCCCTGCTTACTGCATAATAGGTTCTTGGTGATTTTGTTGGTTCCCTTAATGTGGATTGGGTGCTGCAATGCAATGCCATACACAAATGTGAGTCTACAGTCGAAGATTTTGTCACGCACTTTCAAAATATGCCCCAAACTTCATCTGCTGTTGCACTATGGCTGGTGAAATTGGATGCCTTTATTGCTTTGCAGTTAGATGAGAGAGTAGTTGGAACTGCTTAAGGTATGCTTGCTAAAATTATTTTATTTTTCTCATTTTTTTCTACCCTTTGCTAAGCTCAATTGATACTGTGGTCTTCTAGATGGATGTGCTTCACATAAAGCTTCTCGGTCTCTAAGGTTTGCAGATGTGGTTATGCATTACATTAGATTAGATGTTTGTATTAAAATTTAGAAAGTGATTAGATTACAGATATATATATCTAGCTTCTCATCCTAAATTTTTGTATTTAGCTTTACAAAGTGAGTAGATAAGATGTTCTCACTAATATTTTGGTAAAGGATGATCCATATTTGTTCAACCATTCGTACAACTAGGATTTAGGAGTATTGAGTGATTGTTGTATATTCTACAGGTCAGCTATTATACAAGTGCTGTTATATGGTTCAGTAAGTTGGGCATTTGAGAAGGATCATATTAGTAAGCTGAATGTAATAGAGATGCTTATGTTTAGATGGATGTGCTGGAATACCTTGAGGGATATATTTAGAAATTAAGATGTTTCAAAGGACAGTTGGCCAGTTAGGATTGTGGATATCAAGTAGTGAAGAATTTTTTGTGGAAATTGGGTTTACAAGAGCATAGAGCACTTGATATGAAGAGCAACTGTGTAATAAGTCAACCTCATTAGATTAGGATTAAGGGTTCATGATAATGAGTTGCCTTCTCACTGCCATATGCAGCTGCAGCAACAGCCTTCTCAGAGGCCCTGGCCTGGCCCTGGTTTTTTGGTATATACCTAAAAAAACTTTTATCTCTAGCTCGACTGAAACTTGATTTTCCACTGATGCAGCACTATTTGATCGACACTCTCTCCCTCCTGAGTTGGGGTTGGGCAAAAGGTCAATGGTGTGTAGGCAATGGCATAGGGGGCAGAAAATCACCTTAAATGAGGCCTTAATTCTGGTAATTTTCCCTATGTTAAATGATTTCAAGGTATTTAGCTGTTTAATTTAACATGAAAATTAATAATTGATATTTATTTCAATTTTCAGTATTTCCATATTCATAGTATTTGTCCATTTAGTAGGAGGGAACTTAAAAAAAAAGGGAAGAATAATTTGTTAGATAAACATGTGGTTACATTACATTTGACATTCGATTGTGTGAAAATGTTTAAAGGGGTTGCCTTAAAAGGATATTAATATTGAAGGGTGACTTAATGTTACTTTTGCATTTGGAGGACAAGGGGTGTTTTTCTGCTAATAATCCTAGAAAATTTGAGAGCATGTTTGGCTAGGACTCAGGCGCCAAAAATATGAGTGATTTTATATGAAAGTTGCCAGTTGCCATTGAAAAACAAATATTAAATTGGCAAAGGTTGATGAAAAGATGCTAGTTGTTGATTGATACTCTGTAGTTGGTAATTGATCAGCTGTTAAGCTAGTTGATGAATTGGTGTATAGGAAGAATTTTGCAAACTTAGCTGTTTAATTAGCTGAAAAGCTGTTGTCAATATGGGGAGTTTATAAGCTGCCGTATTGAGAAAAGCAGTTAGATGCTTATAGGAATTTTGTGAGAAGCTTGCTCAGAGTTTAAGATCCTCTCTCATAACAACCAGTTCTGACTTGCTGAAGTAGAAAATGATGTTTGATGAAGTTTATGAGCCTCTCTCTACAAGCTAGTGATTTTTGAAATGACTAGCTAAAGACGTCAGGATTTAATGATCCCTGAGAATTGCATAGACGTATCCTGTGCTGCATGATATGCCATTGTCTTTCATCTTTCTTTCGGTGTCTGATGCTTTCGTTTGTTTACTTAATACTGAGCCATATTGAATTGCCTATTCCAGGCCAGTAGTTAGCCCCAGTTGCGGTTTCAGCTGATGACGACTGAGATGTGCACTGCTGGGCCGGTAGAAGATTTAATTGTTCACTTTACAAGTGGCACTCAGATCCAGAAAAGGCTATGATCTCTACGAGAGAACCCTTTTTGGATAACAGCTCGGAGGCTTGGAAAGTTCGAAAAAAAAGGCTGGGAATCTTGTACAGAACTAACAGAAGGGTTGCAGGTGCTCATTCTTATTATTTTGAATATCTTGGGCAGGTTGGCTAAAGAGATAGTAGTGTACAGTTAGAACTTTAGAAACTTGTGGCAATGGCGTCATGCCACCATTCTCTTGTTGAAATTGTTTATAGGCATTAGAAAGCAAGCATCCATACCCATGAAAACCTTGTAGTACAGTGCTGTAAAGCATACCAAAATTTTGAGTAGATACTGTTCTGATTTGGGCAATGTGATAATGCTGATTTGGGCAATGTAGACATGTAGTAGGGAGTACAATTCGTTTCATAATCCTATAATAGTCCTTGATGTAATACGAAAGTAAGTGATTATATACAATCTGTGGTTCGTGGAGGATGGTACATCTGCTCCAAACAAAAACATGGAAATAACTTATTTCAGAAATATAAAATACATATAGCCAAGTAAAAAATAAAGTTTCATTTTTCAATTTTTGTTTTTGGATCATGCTAATTAAATTTAAATAATGTTTATTATCACGTTTTTTGTTAATATTATAGTGTTTATTTTTATATTACCTTCGTTACATATTAGTTGCAACTTTTGCCATTTAGGGGCGCTAAACATTAGTTGCAACTTTTCATTTTTTTCCCTTTTTAGTAAGTTTTTTTCAATGAAAGTACAAAAATACCCTTACTAAAGAGTTTATAAACACAATTTGCTACCCAAATTAAATTTCATTAAATTCTTAATCTAACTTATTTAACTAAATATTGTCACCCAAAAATATCAACAACCATCAAAGATCATTATCTTTCATCTTCATCTTCCACCAAAAAACCAGACCACCGCAACACCCACCTTTACCGTCGCCGTTGCTACATTTAATGTAACACCCTAGAAATTCCTTTTCTTTAAAATTCCTGTTTTGCCCTTTTTAAAATACGAAATAGGAAAATCTAGGACATTACCGCCACCGTGAAAACGACTAAGACAAATATCAAAAACACACCGCGGAAGACTATATTTAAAACCATTCAAAACAAGTCAACTCAAAAAGTCAAACCAAATGAAAGTAAAGTCAAACAAAGTCAATCTACAACTTGGAACCATTATAGATCCTTAAAAAACAATACTGAAAACATTTATGTTAGTCTCATGAGCATAATGAAATAAATAACATTCAAAGCAAATAAAACACATAATATAGCTATGAAAACTAAGCATGAATCGCTCTCACTCAAGCCCATCATGAAAATGTTTCATCACCTGAAAAAGCTTCTCTCTACTTGTCCCCACCACTCGCCATTAGAAATGGATCGTCGTAGGGCCAAGGTAAAGACAAGGCCAAACAAACATACAAACATACAATCAGCAATGCTGAGTACATAAACGTAATAAAAACACACTAACATGCTTTCATCCTATCAACACACAATTTACTTTGTTGCACCTGTTTACAAGCATACAACATACCAAGCAACCAACTAATAAATAAATGAATTATTTATTTAATTTGATTACGCATTGAACGGGTTTCTCACCAAATCCCTGCCCCATATAAATTGAGGTAAACTACACCGGGAGCTAACCGGATAGGCAAATGTCACATGAAGTGACTGGACGTCCTGCGCATAAAATAAATAAAAAGGAAAATACAGCGTTCTGTACTCCCAGTATAAGCTATGGTTAAATATAAAACCCCATAACTCCCCCCCATATGTTCATACTCAAGGTATATACGTTCCAAGAGTTTTGGTGAGTAATCTCTTTCACAGAAAATATGCGTTGGATTGTGAGCATTTTGGTGAAGAAATGAGTAGGTTCCCATTTTGGTACAAACTCCGTGAGCTTCAATGGAGTTTCCTCCATTGTTGTCTTCTTTAAGCTTAAAAATGGGGTTGTCGAGGAAGGAGGGGAAGGGGAGGGAGGCCGGTTAGCTTCCTGAGGATTTTCAACATTACCACCCTGATTAGCTTCCTTACCATTACCACCCTGATAAGCTTCCTGAGGATTTTCAACATCCATTTTATTGTCCAGAGCAGCGTACAAACCCCAATAAGACCAATAGAAACGAATGTACCTACTCCCACCATAACATGAATTTTCCAGTTCTTTTGGACGAGAGCCCCTAATTGGGTCTTCTTAGTCAGCATGCCAAAAGTCGTGGAATAAATTTGATTCTCATACATGAGAAAAGCTATTGCACCGGCCACAATTGTAACTAACTTTACTCTCCCTATTTTACATGTCCCTCGTACCACAACATCACAACATCATACAACCTTAGATACCCAATCTTTTAGGTTGCATACTATTCTTTTGACCCTCCTATATCCACTGTTAACATCCCCTCTCCTACCACCATATTGCAGCAATTTTCGGGGCGGGTCAAATTCTAGTATACTCAATTTTTTTTCTAAACTCAACTATTCTACTACTACTATTGTTATACAAGTAATTACTAAACTCGATTTTGTAGCTAGAGAAGAAAAGTATGTGACCGTAATTTGATTTTTGAATCAAATGTGCCTTTAATGCATAGCCGTTTCTAATATTTAGTGGCCTGGGGTATAATGATAATACTTTTATTGAATAAATAATTTGTTTTTATAATTATAAATATTTATGTAATTTGTTAATTCATAAATAATTTTATGTAATTTGTTAATTACTTCATCCGTTATTTTAATTGCATTATTTACACTTTTTCTCTATTCACTCACCTCTTTTGAATTTCTTTTGTGATTTATCCGTTAATATTATATTTTTAAATATCATATTATTTAAATATTTATATGTAATAATTTATTGCATTCGTCCCTTAATTTCGTGATTAATGACTGGGTAATTCTTAGCTTTACAATTATAATATAGATAGGTGGATGCAAATTAACCGGAATGATATTACGTTACTCTTTAGGTTTTGTAGTACTACTAGTGCCCCGAGTTGCTACTTTGGTAATCGTGCAATTGAGATATTTTTTAAAAGGATTTTGAAATTTAAAATTAACATTAAATCATGTGGTTTACACTAATGTCCATTTTTTTTTCTTCATATTTATAACATGCTTGATAATGGGCTAATATGGTAAAGTGGTTGGGTGTTCGAATCCCCTAAACCGTATATTTTTATATTAAGTAATGTGGGTTGCTTGGGTGATGTGGCGTTACGATTAAAGTTAATTAAGTGATGATGTGGTATAAAGAGAGGTTGGGTAGGTGATGTGGCATCACGAAATGCTTGTGGAGTGACATGGTGTAATTTAAAAGATCTACATGGCACATTGACATTTTTATAAATGCCTTTTAATAGATTAGTAGTCTAGTATAGATGTTATTTATTTTTTTTTTCCTTACAAATTAAACATCATTTGCTCTAATTTTGAAAAACCGACTATAAATCCTCACAGCTCTAGTACCTAAAACTTCAGAACTCTCAATATCAATAGAAACTACTAAAGTTAAACGTCGCAGAGAAAAATCAATTAAGAAGCTCACGAAACCCAGAATATAAGTAACATCAACTTTCACGCACTAAGAAACTGTTAGATATATGAGATATCATCAATAACGTAAAATATGTGTAATATATATAAATATGTGTGATATTATTTCCATATTAATAAAATTTTAAAAATAATATATTTAAAATTATTTATGTTAAGATATTATTTAGTTAATATAACTTTAGGATTTATTTTACGATAGTATATCAACAAGATTGCTTTCTGTCATGTGAGAGCCTAAATTTGTATAAATACACTTATTGATCAATAATAATAAAATCAAACTATTAACTCTTTACTTCTAATTTGTCAGAAACTTTGCAGAACCACATGAGCAAATCATTGAAACTATGGCTACAAGCTTGAAGGGCTTGATGCATTACAATTTTTTTTTTTTTTATTATTTTTTTAATAGATGAAGCATTACATTATTGGTTTCCATTTTATTTTTGTCAATTACATCTAGTGGACACTTTGTTTCTTTGCTCTTTGTTTGGGACAATTTCCTTTAGTGGTTGATTTCAACTACGATGACAATAGAAATCACACCTGATGATTATGCCATCTTGTTTTTTAGTTCAATCTTTATAATTTTGGTAGATACCCATGCTTATTCTTCACTAAGAAAAGTTAACCCACAAATGGCTCAAACTATTATAAGTTGATTGATCATGAATTTTATTTTATTTTTCTGCATTATTAAGAGGTTGCATTGAATTTTCAAAATTTGTATCTCCATATTGTCCAATAAATTCAAATGTATCTTCCCCCATGAACGCAACCTCTTCATCGGATGGAGGTTTATTCAAATCAAACATTTTGCTATTAGAAAATCAGAAAATAAAATATTAGACACAATCTATTATTATGTAAATTTATTACTCCGTAATAACAAAAATATGCAAGCAATATACACTACTTATACGAGATAAAGAAGATAGCTAAAGAATCTAACAATCCTAACAGACTGCATAATACATGCATGCTAGAGTAAATATCTTTCATAGTACCTTTATATTTTGCCGATAGTCGATGTTCAATATTATCCACCCATGAACTTTTGGTTTTTACTTACATCTTAGTAATGAAATATCAGTTTTTTTTTTGTTTTTTTTTTAACGATTGAAAGAACCAAGTGATATACATGTAAAATAATTGTCTCTTTATCTTCCATTATTTAATGAAAGTTGTTTGGGTCCAATTTCACCTCAATTGGGCCAGTTCACGAATAATACAATTTGAAGCCCAAACCAAGGTTCAACTCTCCAAAGCATGCCAAGTCAGCCAAGCCCAGTCAAATGGCAAACCCATCTGACCGGGGCCCATCAAGCTAAGGTATAAAAGCCTCCAAGTAAGTAAAAACAAGGGGACATCTCATTGAAATTCGCTCTACCTCTAACTACATTACTGACTTCGGCATTGGAGGGGCCTTCCTCGACACAATCCCCCGAGGCCAGTTTACGTGTGCTTATTGTGCAGAAAACCCTCGGCTAGCCACAGCTTAGTCCGAGACCAATCTTCTCCCATCGAAAAGAGCGTGTCAAGGTCCTATTGTTTTCATAACGAAACAATTTGGCACCGTCTGTGGGGAGGACATAAAAAACAAGCCAAAAACCAACCATTCTTAGCAAAAACATGACTAAGAGTGGTAAAAGTGCCATGAGTGCTAAGAAAAATGATCCTTCCTCCTCGAGGAAAGGCCCATTTGCAGCGGGAAGGAATCCACCTATTCCATCATCACCGGAATCCTCTTTTTCTTCTTCAAAAGCTCCCTCTTCCTCGGAAAGGGTAGCATAGGAGAAGTCACCATCCAATCATACTCGCTAGCCGACTAGCTCATATAGGCCGGGCCAATCAAATGCAAAAAATCCCCCTTAAAGCTTCAATTCTCGATAACAATCGAGAAGAACTCCTCAAACGGGGCCCCTCTACGGAGGAAGTGGCACGAGCCGTCGCGGTCTTC